ATAACATCTATAAAATAATTGCACAAAAAAATGTACAAAGTGAAGAGCGGGCGTTACAGTATGACTTCCGATAGTTAAGCAACTAAAATTGGTGCTGCTTTAAGAACGCAAATGATGAAGGGTAACTAATTCGCAAGGCACATGCTTTATTATTACCGCACTGTCTTTCCGTTTATACACTGAAAAAAACTGGCCAGTACACAGAAAGGCCACCACGAAATGAATCCACCCAGCTGATAAAGAGATCAAGGAAGTGTTCTAAACGGCGCACAGCACGTCGAAGGCTATAATATATATATTATATATGAAGCGCCGGGGGGGGGGGTGGCTATAGAAGTGATCTTTATTATTATTTTTACATTCTTTAAAACTGAAATAAGACAAACTTACAGCACGCCGTTTTCTGAGTATAGACCTTCTCAGAAAAACTGATGAGGAAAAATGCTAATCGGTTCAATCACATACCACAAGCTGTTTCCCCGAATCGACATATCCTGAGGATTCACGTGTCGGTAATTCGACCCTACCTTGAAAAGCTATCAGTTGTCGTTGAATATACAGAGAGTAACGACCCATAGAGGAGTACAGTGTTGGCTATGGGGTTGGAATCTAAATCTGAACCTTAGTTTGGCATTAAGTTTGGTGGGATCCCAGAAAGGAGGGTATAATTTAAATGGAACACTCTTTAGTGGTATTAATTGGCAGCTATATTCGATGTGCAGTTGAGTAGATCTTACTCATTTTCGGCACAGACTATCACTACTATCAGTTATATTACAAGACGCAGCATCTACGTTGACGAGCATTTGACAGGACTAGCTTGTACATGTACAAGGCAGCCATGAAAAAAAGAGAGAAAAGAAACAACAAGCAAGCAGACAAAAACTTGGGGAAAAGAAGAGAGAGTTTGGTGATACAACACAAGTTGAGCATCATAGAAGAAGAAGAGGAAGAGGAAGTAGAAGAGAAACAGAAAAAGAAGAAGGAGGAGGAGGAGGAGGAGGAGGAAGAGGAGGAGGAGGAGGAGGAGGAGGAGGAGGAGGAGGAGGAGGAGAAGAAGAAGAAGAAGAAGAAGAAGAAGAAGAAGAAGAAGAAGAAGAAGAAGAAGAAGAAGAAGAAGAAGAAGAAGAAGAAGAAGAAGAAGAAGAAGAAGAAGAAGAAGAAGAAGAAGAAGAAGAAGAAGAAGAAGAAGAAGAAGAAGAAGAAGAAGAAGAAGAAGAAGAAGAAGAAGAGATGAAGAGAAGAAGAAGAAGAAGAAGAAGAAGAAGAAGAAGAAAAAGAAGAAGAAGAAGAAGAAGAAGAAGAAGCAAGAGGAGGAGGAGGAGGACCAGCAGCAGCACCAGAGAAGTATTGTCGCAATGAAAAACGCAATTTTCTCTCTGTTGGTAGACTTCAGATGCATATAACGAGGCCTCTGTCCAAAAATCCAGCAAAATGGAGCTATAAAAAACATAAAATTTGAGTTCTTAATTAATTGAAATTAAACTTCACGTACATCAAGAAGGTGGATTCTTTTAAAAACTCGGGAGTCACTGGACAGCTGCACTCTAGTGTTCTCTTTATTTATTGAAGATAGCAGTGGTGCAGTAAGTACTTCTTGATTCAGGCCTTTTGTCATATTGGGTGATTGAGTGTGTATGTGTCTTTGTGGACGTTACTTGTAACCTCTCCTTTGTGTCGTCCACGACTGCTTGTCAAATGAGAGCCTCGTCCATGTGTGCCTCTGCTAGCTGGACCATTGTCGTTTTTGGTTGTGTTTTTTTTTTTTTTTTTGGGGGGGGGGGTTGCTGGGGTTTTTTTTCTTTCGAAAAAGGGGGGGGGGCGTCTTATACCCGACGACGACCCCAACTGTGTCTTAAATACTCTCTGTCTCTATGTCTGTTTTGCTGTCTTCATGTCTGTC